ACAGTGGATGAATTTGCTCGAAAGCCAAATTGCTGTTTGTTAAAAAAATTGTTTTTTTCAAGATGGAGAACTAGACGATTGAAAACTAATCTCTCAAATATCTTGCTAACGTTAGACAGTAGAGATACTGGACGGTAATTCTAAACTTTTGATCTATCCTCTTTCTTAAAAATGGACTTAACAATCGCCGCTTTCCATTGAGAAGGAAAAATGCCTGATGATGTATTCAATTTATTGCGTCATTGAAGAGTTCACATTCTTTCTTTGCATGTTATCAAATGTCTGTTTTTCTGAGTGAATAAATGTCCTGCACTGAATTAAGGGTATTCATTTGGATACCTTCTTAAGCGCGACAAATACGCGACATGTCCGATTTCTCTACGGGTACACAGTTGTCTGATATATTTATACTAGAGATACAACCGGTATCGGTATGCCGGTATCGGTACGAATTGTAACGCCGACCGGTATATCGGCATTAGTATGAAGTAGAATCAGTCGGCCGATATTACTGGTATTTCGCGGTATGATACGATTTTTGTCGAAAAACATCCTGTAAATTCCGTTCATCTGTGACATATCTCTTCCACTAAAATTTCATTCCAGTTACTTAAACTTTGTCGTCTTACATAAAGTTCCTAATTTAAAAGATTGAATTGGATTGCTGTTTTCGTAAAAAAGAAGCGTGTGAAAAATCAGCTATACATAATAAGTGATAAGATTAATTTATCCCTGTGATGATATAAAATAAAGTTCACACTAAAGAAAAACAAGGAAAAAGTATTTGTATTTAGGCAAAATATGATCAAGACAAGCCAGTACCGACTGGTAAACCGATCATCTGTATACGGGCCGATACCGGTACGAAGTCTGTATACCTTTGACCGGTATCGGTATTGCATTTTTGATTACACCCCGGATTTATACACCTGAGTTAATAAGTTTGAGAATAATTACATTTTAAATATTTACTGTATAGCAAAACTAAGAAAAAAAAATATCGATGTAACTATTATGTGGCTACTAACCTCTTCCTTTCGAGATTAAAGGATAGTGAACCTTCCTTTGATCGTCATTCGTAATACTGCAAAAGACGGTTTAGTATTTAGTTTACTTACACCATGGAACTGTCTTGTTAGGACTATGCGTATCACTCATGTCTACGTGTGACTCTGGAACATAACATACAGAAGGAAATTTCTTTGGTTCTGTTTGTCACCTGTAAAACTGCGAAAGAAGTATTCCCTTTTCTAACGAGATTTAGGATACGCCCCATGTGTTCGTCAAGCACTCATATTTTTAAATGAGTGGACGATAAGGAGAAGAATGTATGTGAAGAAAGAACGATTGCACACTCGCATTTTATACTTTCTTTCGTTTTCGTTGCTCAATGTTGAGTAATCATATAAAGAGAGAAAGTCAGTAATAAATAAAGAGAGAGAAAAAAAATGACTTAAATGGTATCCAAAACAATTATTTGTCTAGATTGTCCTCGAAAATTTCAAGCAACATTTCGCAAAATCTTGCTGTAGATTGTCTAACCTGTATGGAGATGAGAAAAATAAATTTACTAACAAAACTTGATCCAACAAGTAATGTTCTGAATACAATTTGCGTCACTTTTATTTTTTTCTCTCTCCTTTCTTTATATATATAGAATGGAGAGAGAAAAAAAGTGTATAGGAGCTATATATATATCAGTTCGACCAACCTATACAAAAACAGACGATCAAAATACATCAGACTTCAACATAATCTATCGAGAACTATAGAGATTACCATTGTGTTATTAGGTTTATTGTAACATAATATTTTTAAAAATATTATTTTTATTGGCATATTATACTGCGAGATATTTAAATTCAATCTAGGTGAGAAGGAAGAAATCATAATGACGCAAATTGTATGCAAAACAATTATTTGCAAATACTGTTATCGAAAATTTAAAATTCAACAAGATTCACGGCTGGTTAAAGACAAAAAAAAAACAACTGTACATTGTCTAACCTGTACAAAGACAATAGAACTTAACAAAAATTATTCCAATGAAGTAGATGATGATCTAACCGAAGTTATTCTATTTGATTTTCAAAATCGAAATTATAAAAAGAAGAAAAACTATTTATTTTTTGTTTTAAATCAAAATAAAGGTGATTCGTCAATTTTTTATTAGTGGGCAATGTATGATCATATACGATTTCGGTATAAAAAAAGTTTGGAAAATTTTGAAAAAATGTGTTGATGATATATTTAGAAAACTAAAAATTAAAATTGTAACTGTCCTATTAATATTATCACATACCGACAGTGATCATTACGGTAATTTAGAAGAAATCAGTAAATATATAATACAAAAATATTCACCCATACATATATCTTTAATGTTACCATGCAGCAGAGAGCAGTTTATCAATCTAAGTAAAAAGATTCGTATTATTGGTGATTTTGAAAATTTTAAAGAGGGTGATAATGTTATAACATGCTTGTTAAATAGCGAATGTAAATTGCAGGTACATTATCCACCTTTCTATAATAATCGAGATAATAATCGAAATAGTTTAATCGCAATTATTTATTTTGGTAAGAATAAAGAAAAGATTGTTCTAACTGGTGATCAATCTTTTGATCAAATTAACGGTATACTAGAGGAAAAAAAAATTACTGAAACATCAATATTTCAGATACCTCATCATGGTTCTCAAAAAACCTACAATGATTATGATTACAAGTTAATCCCGAGCAGAGTCTATATTATTTCCGGTAAACCAGAAAATGACGAAAATACATTTACTGATAACCGTCTACATAATATCACTTGCCAATATAAAACTGTTCAGCACATCATCGAAACAACTAAGACTCAAACGAAACGCATCTATGTGTGTTTTACTCAATTAAGATTAGACGAAAATTCCGTTAAAATTTTAAATGAAAACTATAAGATTACAGTTGTCGGTGTCAATACGGAGTTGGGCTACATTCCAATTAACTAATTAGTGAACTAGTTAATTAACTAACAAATCTAGAGGAACATCAACAAACTAATGATTAGTGTTGATGTCTTTCTATAAATCGTTGTAAACTAATGACGTTGGATTTTTAACGCTAATTAGCTTAGACGAATGGCTACTGGCATTGCTGGAAGTGGCAGCAAGGAGTTGGTGACATCCGTTGGGGGCGGCAGTGAGTATTTGAGAATGGACCACTTCATAACATTTCCACTAGTATTACAGTTTTGTCTAAATTCGTATGGAAATGTTATGATAGATGCATTTATCACATTTTCAAGAAAATGATCAAAAGCATTGTTATAGAAAATGGAAAATGGTAATTTATGCAAAAGATCAAGACACTACATCACTGTGTAAGTGCATTTCGAGACGGTCACCAGCTTCTTCCTGTCACCCCTTGAGAGCGTCAATAGCTACCTCTTTGCCGATACCATCAGAGGTGATAATAGCTTCCTATACTACGTCCTATACTTCTTTTTTTACTCTCGCGTATATATACCAATGTGTTGCCTTCGTTTTTTCAGTGAGATTACACCGTTCACACGCACGTCTTACTCTGTGTTTTCATTTCTACAAGTTTTTAAATAAAAAGGAGCATTGAAATATGTGATTTTACTCAGAGTAGAGAGTTCCCAGACATATTTTGCCTGGCTCTCTAGCACACACGCAATTGAACTATTTTAAAACATGAATTTCATTAGGAAAACATTAAAATACACCGAAAAGTCGAATCTTCTAGCGTCAGATTTTCGCAGAGATCTGTATGATTAATCGATTATTAAATCGATTGTACAACTCGAGAAATACGTTGTATACTCAATTAAAACCTTTGGAAAACATTTTAAAAGCTGAAAAAATTTGAGTTTCTGTAAGAGTTTCAAAAATCTCATTATACATTTTCCAGACAGACAAACATGGTCATTGTGTTTTCAGAAGGCCTACTCCATCAACCGCAAGTTTCTTAACACTACCAAACAGTTTACAGATCATGCCATTCCCGCCAAAGCCTCGGAATTCTCAGAAAACCATTTTACAAAAGTTTTCATACCCAGAGTTTTCCAGAAAACCACTGTAGAAGGATTTTGAGTGACTTACACTATTTTAAACTTTATTTTTTTTTTAATGATACTGTATCATTTGACTTAACAAGAAAACACTACTTAAAAGAAGCATGTAGATGTTGCTACTGTTTAGTAATGCCTTTCCTGTTTTTGTTTTGTTCTCATTTATTGTCATTTGCACTAAAATTTATAGCTAATAAACCGCCTCTCAATGCCATTCGTGTAATGGAATCATCAGATTCACCCATCATTCGAATTGATCCACAAATTGCATATGTTCTTGATTTTCCCGTTATAAGACCGGTTTGTTGATCAATATCGGCTATATCAAGTTGAATGGCTGCATGATCTTTACCGGCTATAATTGTATTTGATGGTGAACATTTTCGTGGAATATATAATTCAACTTGTGTATCAACACCTTCAGAGAGAGAGAGAGAGAGAGAGAAAGAGAGAGAATCTCTTAATAATGTGTTTTAGCACCACTTAGTGGAAAAGGCTGAAAACCGTTTAAATGATACCAATAGATTGAACACCGGCAACAGCCATTCCCTACTTCTGAAACCGTCTCAGTACTCAAGAGTGTCTACCAAGGACATTACGCTGATTGATATTGCATCTTGATACAAGAGGTTAACTTTTTATACTTAAAAAATTATAAAAATATATTTTCCTATGTTTTGGTTGTACGTTGGAAGCTCGAGATTCACAATTGTCAGAAATGTGTGAGCGATATGTGTGCAAGAAACGAAAATGGAATCTACTGGCCTAAGGTCCAAAAGCGTGATTTGGATGATATAAAGTCATTCCTAATCAAAAATACAATCATTTCTGGGGATTTCAATGCAGCTGTATAGGAATGGGGTACGCCCTAGTCTGATGGCAGAGGTAAATTTTAAAAGAATGGATAGACGTAAATTGTTTGGAATATGTTGAGAACTCTGAAAATTTGTCTAAAAGATCGAAGAGAAATATAGATTTTACGTTTGTAAATTCTGAAGGTATAAAAGGCGAGACATTATGTTTTGGCTCGAGTGATCACTGGCCTAATTCATATAAAACTGAAAGTATAGTATTCGAGTGGCAAGGCCTTTTCCCTATAACAGCATGGTCTTTGTATCAAGTGACTTTATTGTTACTACAGGATTTTTGGAACGATAAACAAAACGAACTGACAGCGACGGAATGATATGAGTTGTATATAAAATTTTTGTCTGTACTTAAACCTAGGTTGACAAAATATATTACCAGAGATAAATATAAATCGACTTTACCCCAATTAATCTTGGAAAAACTAAAATATATTCGAAAAGTTCGGAATTTATATTACCGTAACCATTTTGAAGCCGATAGAATTGCTCTACGTAATCAGACGCAAGAAGTTAGAAAAGAAATAACTCTGTATAAGTCGTTTAAATGGAATTGTTTTTTATCATCTATAAATAATGCTCACGAGCAATCCAAAACAATTTTTTGGTCCTTTCTTTCACGAATCTATGGTCGAAAAATGCTACCAATCTCAAAATTGTTAATAAAAAATGAAGTTATTTCAGATAAAAATATGATTGTAGACGGGCTTTTTGATTATTATAGAGAACAGTTCCTCCCTAAAGTTCCGTGGATGGTAAAGCAAAAGCTTTTTTTGGATGAGGTAACAAAATAAAATGCTAAAGAAAGAATTTATTACTGCTTTTTAAATTGTATGAGTTAAATATAAGTGTTGCTTTCTTCTTTTTCGATTTGGTTTGTTATGTATTTTGCCGTTCTCCTCGTTATTCTCCTTTCTTTTTTGTAACAGCCTACTGGCTTAACAACGAATGGACGGACAGTCCAAAAAAACAAAAAAAGAAATGAAGGAGAAGAAAGGAACGCACTACGTCTGATGTGTCTTTTTTCTGGTTGTTATCGGCGGAATGGTTGCTGTTGTGTGTTAGTGAACTAATAGTGCTGACGTTCTGCTTAATAGAAGAGAAGTCATTCTTGATCCATAACTATTCAAAACTTTTAAAAGAAATAATCCTGAGGATGGACTTACATGTTGTTGAAGGCTGGATGATAAAACAGTGATAAAACTTTAGTTTTCAAGGCTTCTGCAATTGCTTTTGCCCCTTCAAATGATAATTAACTGGAATCAAATATCTGATGAAGCGAAAATGGAATAACGCGAGAATGTAGTATTCGTGGTGGGAGTCGAGGCGCTAAATTAGTGGTTAATGCGCGATCACGACTCTACTGAAAGAGAATTAGTGTGCACGCTTTCGTAAGAAAGGCATAATCACGACCAGAGTTTTCGTTACAAATTTTTCGAGGAGGGGAAGGTTTAGGGACTTACTCCGAAATATGAAATTTGACTTACTCCCACTTCTTGGAACAAAATTCTATTTGTGATAAAAGTGATGAACAAAAATTCCTCTCGTTTAACGTTTTTTCTAACTTCTTTTCACTTTTGTCTAACTATCATTAAGAAATATTTTAACGTTTCGAGATCTTGCTGTTGTAAGATTAGCATAAAAATTTGAAACAATATAGTCAGTGTCATCATTGTTCATATATAGTTTCATTATTGCATATTTAACTGTTGTTTCAAGTGTATGATTTTCAAGTCTGTTACGTAACTTTGTTTTGATTCTTGTTAATGCACTAAATGACTTTTCGCATTCATTAGCACCTAATGGTAAAGTAATCAATATTTGGTAAAACTTGTACCATTCAGCTAAACGGTAAACACCACATTCTGATAAACGTTTTGTAACTTCAAGTAAACCAGTTATTGTTCCATTTGTTGAACGAAATTGTGGTAATTGTTTTTGTAATAAATTTTTATTTAAAATTGCATTTTCATTGATTTCCGATGATGATAATTTGGCGACAATGGCTGCATCATGTGGAGATTGATCAATGTTGACTTGTCTTCTGTTTCAAACCATGTTTTCAGTTGTTCGAAATCATTCGTTTTAAATTCATTAATCAACGGTAAACCATGAACAGGTGGAGATAAAAATCCAATGAAACAATTTGTTGCTCCATCATACTCGATTCGTGGAACAACACCTGAAAACGTAAATTTCACAATACTGATGTACAAACTGGCTGAAAATCTCTTCCTATTCACCTGTACAACCTTCGGAACCAAAAACAAATGGAGAGTTGATTGATGTTAAATGATCTTTCAAAGATCGAAAACGAAATTTACATTCTGTCACTTTCAAGTTGTGTTTATTAATAATGTTATCCAGTGTGGTGATACTCTGTAATGCACAGAAGAGATTTATCTGACAAAATCATAACATTATAATTAAAATTCCGCCCATAACAACCGTCCACACCAAAATCATAATCATAATTTCGTTCACCTAAACATAAAAGGACAAATTACAAATAAAAAAACATTTAACTGTACATTCAACTTGCTCAAAATGAATAAACATAGTGCAAATCGTTCAACATCTTTGCTGTATCTATGATGATTCTTCGATCGATTTATATTTTGTATGATATTCTTTAATAACGAAAATAAGAAAGGCTGCTCATGATCGTCATCATTTGTATAACGTTGTTCATATAATTCCAGTAATAAACTTGTTGAAGTATTTTCGTTTTCATCCTCATTCTCCTTCGATTCTGAACGTATTGCTAATTCTTCCTTTTTTAGTTTTAGTAATAATATTAAATAATCGATCCCATTCTCTATTCCTAATTTAACCATAAACCTTCCATCATTTAACTCGAAATCAACCTTCTACTTGATATCTGTTACAGCTGGTGATTCAGACTGTAATATCAATAATATTTTTTCAGTTGACATTAATGCTAATGATCTCAATGATCTGTATTTTGAAAATGTCAGCAGCTTCTTCTGTATATATGAGAAATAACGTTAGCAATATCGCCATGAAGAAAATACAGGGATAGAAGTTACCCAGATTCTAATTAGTCTGAATGAAGATGCAAAACTGGCAATTTTTGTAGTTATCTATCACTTTTGTTCCTTCCCGCTGGATCCGTTTCATTGTAATTCATTAACGGTTGTTTATCATTGACGCTGATAAAAACCAAGATAAAACCAATTTTCGCTTAATACAAGATTTTATTTACACTTTACTTGTAAAAAGCCATCAGTTTTCTTTTACATCCGTATCCCGATCTCGGCGTGAAGAAAGATACAGAATTATTTATATATGATATAGATTTTTATTTTCTGCTCAAGAAACCTTGCTTATTGTGCTAGATTTCAGGTTAAGCAGACAAATAGGAAAAAGCACAAATGTCAGGGTCGAGAAAGCTCTCTCTCCGAAGAGCTTTTTCTCGAGCCAGTCGAACAATAATTTCACCATGTCTTACCCGGTTTTCTCTTCGGGAACATGACGCAATTCATTTCACCAGAGATTGACCTCAAAATCAGTACGCAGCAAGTTAAAGAGAGAGTTAAGAGATGTGAATAAAATTGCTGCGTACTCTCAGTTATCATTCAACGTATTCAAATTTTTTGATCACTTTTACAGGCTTAACTTCATTGAAAGCAAAAAGATTTTTTTCCTCTTCTCACATGTTCTATTACACAATATAACATTTAGGCGATACTTTTCCGTTTTGTGTATACCTCCTTATAAGGACGAACGTTTTCTTATTTGATATAGATTTTTTTTCCATTCGAATAATACGCAAAGACAGAGTGAATGCTGCGTAATAAGAACGGACTTTTTTTCATTGACTGCTTTTGACTACTTTATAAAGAGTACTGAAGAAAGAAC